TTTGTTGGGATTTGAATTGGAGCTTGTATTCTGATTGGTTGTCAGACTCCCATGGGGCCATGCAGGGGCGACTCTGTAGGCCAGGGGTCAGGGAACTTTTTTACCTCTTACCCCCCCAAAAATTTATAAACGCAGACGTTACCCCTCCCGGCCTCTCCCCCTCCCCGGCCACCTCAGGCTGCTGACACATAATTTGGAGGTCGAGGCGGGAGGAGGTGCCCTCCCCCCCCCCCGCGGCTGGGAAGAAGGCGGGATAGCTCGCTCCAGGGAATGAAATGTCACCAGGCTTCCCGAGGGCTTCTGGGAATTTTCTCGGGGCCAAGGCGGCAGTTGCAGGTGCCTCTTCGCTTCCTGTGTGCCTGGCAGTGATGAGAGGCTTCGGGGAGGGAGCCGGGCTGGCTGGCTAGTTGGCAGGCAGGCAGGACCTGGGGGCGAGGAAGCGGGAAGGGAGGATGATATTTGGGAGCCACGGTGACACAAACTGCGCGCGAAAAGCGTGCGGTCATCGCAGCGCGGGGGAAAGCGTCCCTTTTCCCAAAATGCTCTGCCCTATGCCAGAAGCTCGCCTTCCCCTAAAAAACGGGCGGCGCGGCTCTTGCAGAATCTAGCCTGGAGTCATTTCCGACCCAGGAAACAAGGGTGGGGTGGAGGGGATAAATTTGCCTCAAGGGTGTTTTAATAACTGCTGCTATGCCGATAGTTCCGCCATTGGCCAGCGCAACCTCCTCATTACCCCCAGATTTTCACTTTTACCCCATTTGGGGTAATTTACCCCTGTTCCCTGACCACTGCTGTAGGCTGTCCTGAGTTCCAGGCTTGGTTGAGCCTTGCTGGATGATGATGCACTGAAAAGGGCTTTTGGCAATTGCTATAGCTTTACCTGCAGATCTTTGTTATGTAAAGTATTCTGGCCCAGGGCTTAATGGCCCACCCATTAACAAAGGTGGGGGTGAACTTCTACTTCTGAGGTGAGTTTCTACTCTTCTTTTTAGGGGAAATATTCTGCCTTTTTAATATTTCCTAGGATATTTAAATTTTCTAGGAGAGGTATGGGTGCTAACTTCCTACACCTCCAGTGCCTCAAATAATTCATGAAGACTTGAAATTATGTAGCAGTCAAATAGGTACATTTTAACAAAGATTGGCTGCTAAGATTGCTTAATCAACTGATAAATAGTAAAACCAATTACATGGACAAGAATAATTAGCCAGACAAAGAACCCATTCATACCTACTTCTCCAAATCCAGAAATAGGCTGCCCAGACACCATCAAAACAACAAAGACAAGCCAAAGAACACAAGGACGTTTAAGATTGACCTTTTGACCAGAGGCACACAAAAAAACCAACAGGAAAACACACACACACACACACACACACATACCTCAAGCCCATACCAACAGGAGCTTTTACAATGGCCTGTAGAATCAAACATGTTTCTAAAACCTGACATTAGAATCCTAGTCCACTAGTCTATGATTAAGGCTGAGCCTTAATACTTGGCATGTTGGCTTCAAGATGCACTACAGGTAGTCCTCAAATTTTGACCACAATTGAGCCCAAAATTTATCTTGCTAAGTGAAACATTTGTTAAATGAGTGTTGCCTCATTTTATGACCTTTCTTGCCACAGTTAAGTGAATCACTGTACTTGTTAAGTTCGTAATACTGTCATTAAGTGAATCTGACTTCCCCATTGACGGTACTTCTCCGAACGTCCCAAAAACTGATAACGTGATGCCAGGACATTGCAACTGTATAAATATGAACAGTTGCCAAGCTTCTGAATTTTGATCATGTGACCATGGGGTGCTGCAGTGATCATTATTGTGGAAGCGGTCATAAGTCACTTTTTTCAGTGCTGTTGAACAATTACTAAATGGACTGTTGTAAGTTCAAGGACTATCTGTACTGCATTAAGTATTTAGAATTATGTAAAGCACAATCCAATACTGATAATAATAATTAAGGAGTTTTAGATGCTCCTAATATTTCCTGGTCAATTTGAAAAACAAGATATTTAGTTGAATCCATTTTACAATTGTAGGTAATGTGAATTCCTCCTACAATAAAAAGTTTGAATGCTTGATTGGCATTAAGGGGAGTTAAAGTATTAAATCACTCTTCCTGATGACAGTGCAGCAGATGATGAGCAAAATAATTGATGGATTTCTTAGCTTTGCTGTCCTTTCTGATCTGCACATCATCAGTCAATAGAAAAACATCATCCAATCACAGTGCTGCAGTGGGAAGAAGATAAGTTTGCACGACTTAGTCCTGCGATGAATCATTACATTCCACAATATGTAAGCACGATAAATATGTGCAGGTAAAAAGGAACAAATCTTCCTCAACATATTGCAACTCCTTGGATTCAGACTTGTTTGCCTGATAGTTTAAGAGGCATTTTCTAAAAACTGAATTGTTTCTGACTTAAAATAAACATCCCATGTAATGTGGCAATTCTTGAAACCAGGTTGCTAGGCAAAGTATAGATGTGTTACTGCCCCAAATCTCAAAAATGCTCTGATTTTATGTGTTTTTGCCAAATTGAACATATTACTCAATCACTAAAGAGAGAGTAAGAGATCCCAAACATACTATTTTCTGAAATACTTTTCAGCTTTGAACAGAACTCAATTGTAAAACTTTGTTTTGTCTAGGAACCATTTAAGGGAGCAAATAGAGGATTGGCCTCTGTGTAGACTAGACCATTTTGAAAAATAAAGATTAATTCATTTCTGGTGTGAACTGAAGTCCAAGGTCCTTGACTTCCCACAATAAATGTGTCTAGGCAGATTGCACAGCTATCAAAATTCCATGGCAACACTACAGAAACAGAAACAGTTCTCAAAAACCCAGTTTTTTTTCCTGAAATAGCTAATGACAATTACTGGGGAATTAATTCCTTGATACAGCAGGCAAAATTGTCTATATGAAGGTCAGCTGCCTCAAAGTCATGAGCATTTACTGTAGACATGTCAACCAACAACCATATTACAAATAGTCCTCAACTTATAACCATTTAAAGTTACAACAGCACTGAAAAAAGTGACTTATAACTGTTTATCACATGACCATTGTAGCATCCTTAATGGTCATGTGATCAAAATTCAAAATGCTTGGCAATTGGTATATATTTATGACAGTTGCAGTGTCCAGGGGTCATGTGGTCACTTTTTGCCACCTTCTGACAATCAAAGTCAACTTAAGAACCATATTACTAATTTAACAATCGTGTAGCATGGCAAGAAAAGTCATAAAATGAGACCTCATTTAACAGCTATCTTGCTTAGCATTGGAAATTTTGGGTTCAATTGTAGTCATAAGTCAAAGACTCTTGTGACATTCTCTCTTGCTATACTGTGTCCTGTTTTAGAAACGGCCAGAAGAAAATATTTGACTTAGTGTCCCACAAAACCAGTAGAACTGTTCTGAATATTTTAGCATTAACGTTACCATTCTTCTTTACCAGCTGGCACTTGTTCAATTTACTGGGATTATAATTATCATCACCCTCAACACAGAAGTGCATGGTGATGGATGACGAGAGCTGTGGTCCATCTCATCCATAGAGGTGCTGATCTACAGAAAACTGTCTATAAAACATGGTCTCAGTAGTGTTGGCTATTTCTACTAACATTATATGTAGGCATTGTGTAACTAGTAGGGCAACCATCATTTTTCAGGGACTGAGCCGAGACCTATATGATAATGTACAAATAAGTAATGCGTGAAAATGTAGGAATATTTCCTCAGCACTGACTAATCAACGTATTTGAATCCAACAAATTATCAGTTATAAGACCAGGTTTCTCAACTTTGGCAACTTGAAGATATATGCACTTAACATCCAGAATTCTCCAGCCAGCTATGGAAGTTGAAGTCCACAAGCTGTCAAGGTTGAGAAATATTGCAATTAAACAAATAATTTGTATTATATCAGATTTGTGGCAAGATTCCCAATGTATTTTTTTAATCTAAGAAACCATAAATAGGAAATCAACGCAAGACTCCAAAGCAGCAGCACAATTTATTTAGAGTACTGCACTTTTTTTAAAAAAAAATGCATGACCAGTAGCCCTTTAAGTCTTGCCATGTCATGTGATAACAGAGTTTTGAAGAGCTGTCAGTGCTGTTTGGGGGACAACAGGTACCAGGGTGCTCATGAATCCTGTGTTTGGATTTCCTGCCCAATGAAGAGCTTTTACTTCTGGTCAAAGTTTTAGAGGAGTCTGTGGGCTACCAGACAAAGTCAAATCTGGATATTGATCCACATAAAACCATTTATAATTTTCTGTTGATCTGAGTGTTGAAAACTCCACCTAAGCTTCTGACAACTTTATTCTAGCCTTCCTTTTTGTAGGGGGAGTGGTTAGAGAAGACAAGGGAAGGTTGGGTGCAAAGCAGGGCTAGCTCTGTTTTATGTAGAAGTGGGATCATAAAGTTCACAGTCACCCATCTAAGTGACTTGTGAGGATGTTTAAGAGCCACAGCGGTTTCATTTGGACCATAATTAGCTTTCCTTCCCAGAAAGGGCAGGTCACTAGCACAGTCAGTAACCTTTATTTTTCTAGACCTTCTCTATTTGTTACATGCAGAATTTCAAACAATGGCCCTTGACACTTGATTTGGGTAAAAGGTGTTAGCATGTTGTGTGAACATTCTAATGCTAGCCAATAGAGTAAAGGTTGGAAGGAATTAACCAATAGTCCTCAGTTAGCTATGTTACCTAAGGATGACAGCATTGACACAGATTGTCCCTTGTTTAGTTACTGGAACTGTCACAAAGTCCCACATTAGGAAAACCGGGGTTGTCTTGATATTTTGTCCCCGTTTTGCTTTATTTCATACTTTAATGGCATGTGATGAGATGAACAAGGAACAGAAAATGGTAGGGAGTAGGCAACCCCACCCCCCAGTTCATTTCCAATTCATTTTAATTTTTTTCAGTTTTAAGAATTTTGACAGCCTTAACACCTCAAGTGAAGAGCTGCCTGTCAAAGGGAAAGAAGTGAGATAAGAGGGGTGATGCAGCCTGAATAACAATCTGAAGGAAGAAATAATATAAAATGGAACTCAATTTTAATAATGAAAGAATAACATTTTTTGTAAGAACCAATTATATTGTTCTTCATGAGAACACATGATTGTCTTTATTCTCCACTCAATAAAAACAACCCATTTAAGAGACAGCAGCGAGGTATTCAAGTCTTCTTCCCCATGGATGATTCAGTAAGAATATAAATTAGTGGGACTTATCAACCTTAACCTTTTTCAGAATAGAATGACAAGAAACCAGCCTTTCCCCTTCCTGATCTGTCAAGAATAAAGATGATAAAAATTCCTGGTAAGATCAGACAAACTGCAGTACTGAGGCTCAGCAGCCCCTAACTAGACCAATTGCTTATCCTACAAGACCTCCTTCCCCACTCTATTTCAGGATGAAAAGAGCTAGAAAGATAGTTGGTTTGTTGCTCGCTCATTTCCACCACCACCCCCAAGTAAAATTGCGCCAGGGGAGTGCTATACATGAAGGAAGGGAAAAGCAGAGAGTTGCTGGTTATCCTCACCATCCCTAGTATTCCCAGGGAGAGATGCTGTCTGTGGCACTGGAGAAATACAACCCTGCACAGATGCTGCTAGTGCCATGCTTGAAGGTGCAATCAGTTCCATGCCAGCAAATAAAGAAACGGTGCCATCTGGATCACCCCTTGGGGGCCTTTCTTCTTGGAGGTCAGAGTCTGGCAGTCTGCCTTCTGCCCTCTGCTGGCTGAGATCAGGTGGCAGGATATCCCCTTGGCCACAGGACAGAGATTCTGGCATCTGTCCTGTTGGTTGGAACAGGTCACTGGCGATGAGCTTAGGGGCTTGGGAGGGCTGCAGTGACAGGTTAATGGGCTTCAGGAAGGAGTCTTCTGAGAAGGGCACAGTGTTTGTCAGCAGGTCATCGGCATGCTCCAAGGTGGTCTTGGCAGACAAGCAGGAGGCAGCCACCGGCGGTGGATTCTTGGAAGTGGAACGGCTTCGGCAGAGGGCTTCGAACTGACGCAATATCTGTTTAAGTGGGATAGAAGAGAAAAAAAGGACTTGACAAGGACCACAAGGGCAGTAGGGAAGAAGAGTTCCCACCTAACACTTAAGCAGTCAAACACATTCAAAGAACCTATAGAAACCCTTTCCCACACTGGGTTCATTTTCACTCGGCATCGTCTTTTGTTGTTGTTCAGTTGCTAAGTCATGTCTGATATCGCAACCCCAGGGCTCATAGCAGGTCAGACTCCCCTGTCCCCCCCCCCCCCCCCCCGTCTCCCGGAGTTGGCCCAGATTCACGTTATGGCACCGATGACACTATCTAACCATCTCGTCCTCTATTGTCCTCTCCTCCTTTTGCCCTCAGTCTTTCCCGACATCAGGACCTTTTTCGATGAGTCCTCCTCTCTTGTCATTAGGTGGACAAAGCATTTGAGCTTCAGCTTCAGCAACTGTCCTTCCAAACAACAGACAGGGCTGATTTCCTTTAGGACAGCATGGTCTACCTTGTCTTGTGTTCAGTTTGAGCATCTAGCTCGGAAAGCGCATGAACCAGTAGACTCCCACTCAGGGACTCCGCAATCCATCCCTGTTTAGTTGCAACAAAGCTACTGCACCAGATGCTCTCAATGTTGCCCTAGCCTTTGTGTGTGTGTGTGTGTGTGTGTGTGTGTGTGTCTGAAACTCAGAGCATCATTTTCAGTGAATGCTATTGCTTCTATTAAAGCTAACGTGCATTAGCTCTAAGAGCAAAATTATCTTTAGGATCCATGCACCTCCAAAGCAAGGTCTCCTCAAGTATATTAAATGTATGCATGGAGAGAAGATATTCAGATTTTTTTTGTTTCTTTGCCTTCAAGTCAGTCTTGACTCCTGGTGGCTAGATGAATGAATCTTTGCTGTTTTTAGCAATGTTTTCCGAAGCAGTTTGCCCTTACCTTGTTCCTAGAGCAAAGAGAGAGGGTCTGGCCCAAGGCCATCGTGCTGGCTTCTGCGCCTAAGGCAAACCTAGAACTCAGTTTTTTTCTGCAGCTGATCCAGTATCTGGACCAAACTGGTTTTCTATTCTGTTCCTTTCCCAATGAAAAGCTGCGGAGTCAAAACAAAGGTGCACGCACACACACACGCAATCACACACTATATGCCAACCCACACAGACCTATTCAGAATGCAAAAACACCATATTGTGCCAAAGTACAAGCCCAGCCCGGTGTTCTAGAAAGTGGACATTTCAAAAACAGGGTTTACCTTTGTTGCTTTGTTGGCTACGCATCCTGGGCTCCCTTCACTAAGCTCCTGCAAGTGTTTCTGGGTAACGGCAAAGATATGATCCTGGGAGAGCAAGTCCGAACACATAAGGGAAGAGATGGCACACATTGCCCTCTGTGGAAGGATAAGGGAAAAAAATGGTTAGAGCACATGGTTAGGGAGACAAATGGTTGGTATATTCCAAAAGTACATAGCCACAATGGCAGAAAGAAGGGAGGGGAGTCCACTGCTGCCTTCAGAGATTTGGTTTTTTACTTCAGTCTAGCCTGCAAGCCTTAGCACTGTACTAGTCAAGTATTGAATTTTGAGATCAGCGTAATTGCTTAACTTTTCAGTAATCAGCTAAAGACAGACAGGTGCTGCCACCTGTTGTGATAGTATTAAAAGGCTTGCTATGAGGAGCCCAAGTCTGAGCCTTTCCTTAATGTGTTGCCCTAAAAATGAATAAGCCCAGGCAGCTGTTGTTCCACATTACGCTAGTATGAGTATACTCATAAAATTGATAAGAAAGAAATCCTACCCTTGCTATTAGCTCTAAAGGAGACAGCTGCAAAAAATTGGGAGTTCTATGGCTGCAGTTTCAGAAAACGACACTTATCAGCCAAACTGAAGACAGATTTAATGCAACCTGCTGAAGTAGATTGTTTCGTAGGAGTTTCCTCACCATACAGATGCACTCACTGGGGTCCTTCAGAGTTCGGTTCAGCAAAGCCAAGACGACTTCACAGTTCAGCAGTCCACACCTGTGGAGAGGGATCGCATGGAACCCAACAAGGGAGAGAAGAAAAGGAAACAATGTTGTGGGGCAAGGAAGAAGGCCAGCAGGTCTCTGGAGATCCCCAAGCAATGCTATGCAAGAAGGGAATGTTTGTGACTCTTACAAGAGCCAGCAGAGATCTATCAGAAAGAGATGGACTCTATTCAGTTGAAGCTTCTCTTATCTTCTTCAGATGAAAATCAGGCAGGGCGAAGCAAGGTAAAATATCATTATGGAGCGCCAAGATGGCAAGTTACTCACCTGTTGTACAGGTAGTCCTTGACTTATAACAGTTTGCTTAGTGACCGCTCAAACGGCACTGAAAAAAGTGACTTATGATCATTTTTCACACTTATGACAGTAGTAGCATCCCCTTGGTCACGTGATTTAGATTTAGATGCTTGGCAACTGACTCACTTTTATGATGGTTGCAGTATCTTGGGGTCATGGGATCACCTTATGCGACTTTGCTTTTGACAAGAAAAGTCAATGGGGGAAGAAGCCAGATTCACTTAACAACCATGTTACTAATTTAAGAAATGCAGTGATTCACTTAACATACGCGGCAAGAAAAGTTGTAAAATGGGGCAAAACTCACTTAACAAATGTTTCACTTTTGCAACATAAATTTTGCTTTCAATTGTGGTCGTAAGTTGAGAACTATCTGTACTTCTAATAAACAGAGGACAGGATCCAAGAGGATTTTCTGCTTCAGCCTTAGCCCTTAGCCCTGAAACTAAGGACTAAGTTGCAACAATTTACAAAACTTGACACAAAGTCGTTGATACCATATGTGGTATATGGATACCATACGCTATCCAGTAACGAAGAAAAAGTGGGAATGAAGAGGGATGAGCTCTATTTTGGGACCGGAGAGCATGTGCGGTTCTTACTCTTTGATGAAGTGCTGGGTTTCCTCACGAGTCAGGAAGACTTTGGAGCCCCTGGTTAATCCAATGACAAGACTCATTTCTTGAAGACAGTCGTTCAGGTTTTCAGCTTCCATCCTAAAAACAAAGAGGGAGAAATTAACACAGAAGATTCTTTTCCTTCCCTTCCTCTGCCTCACAAGAGAGATCCCACCTTCCAAGTGACCTCCGCATTGTGAACATGTGTGTATTTATTAATTGCATAACATGTTTTTCCTCCGGAAGCTCTCAAGGAGGGGGAAAGGGTATCTCCCTTCAATTTCTCACCACTATCTGTGTGATGACATAATGACTAGCCCAAAGTTCTCCAGTGAGCTCTGTAGTCAAGTGGGGACCTGTACCAGACTTCCCCAGTCCAGATCAAAAAATTATCTCTCTCTCTGCTATCTTCCTTTTGGCTTAGGCCCCGCCATTAGCTCCCCCGGCTTCTTCTCTTACCTGTCAGCAGCACTGCCTGGCTCCAAGGCACTGGAGGGATTATCACTGCCTGCTTTGCTGCTGGATTCGGAAGTTCTGCCCAGGTCGCTATTCTCTTGCAAGGAATTCTGGGAGCTGAGCCCCGTGTCCACGTCCTCCCACCCACCTCCTGCTTGACCAGGTTGATGGTTCACTGTGAGAGAATTTGCAAAGGAACTGGGTAATAGGACTGAATGACTTCTTCAAAAGCCAAGAAAGGCATTCGTTCATCACTACAGATAGTCCTCGACTTACAACAGTTCGTTTAGTGACTGTTCAAAGTTACAGTGGCACTGAAAAATGTGACTTCTGACAGTTTTTCGTAGTTACAACCTTCGTAGCATCCCTGTGATCCTCATGTGATCAAAATTCAGATGCCCGGCAACTGGTTCATACTTACGACCGTTTCTGTGTCCCGAGGTCATGTGATCCCCTTTTACAACCTTCTGACAAACAAAGTCAATGGGGGAACCAGTTTCACTTAACAACTAGGTTACTAAGTTATCAACTGCAGTGATTCACTTAACAATTGAGGCAAGAAAGGTCATAAAATAAGCAAAGTCAATGAGGAAGCCAGGTTTACTTGACTACCATGTTATTAACTTAACAACTGTGGCAAGAAAGGTCGTACAATGGGGCAAAACTCACTTAACAACTGTCTCGCTTAGCAGTGGAAATTTGGGGCTCTGTTGTGATTGTAAGTCAAGGAGTACCTGTATACCTTTCCTTTTTCTCAAAAACAGCAATGTACAACAAGGTTTAACATCTACTGAATGGGAGATGCCTCCTACCTCGCATCTTCTTGGCTAGGGTTACTGGTGGTTTAGTGAGTAAGGTGGGGCTTTTGCCAGGAGAAGGTGCCATCACTGGCTCGTAGACGTTGTCTGCCATCTCCCTCTGAGGGGGACGTGTGAGTTCCTGACCAGGGAGCACCACATTGGCAACCACCTCAGCCGCCTTCTGGATGGTAGCCAGCAGACTTTGGCCAGGGGATACTGGAAGAGCAACAAAAGGGAACCATTTATACAGATTCAATGTATGCTATGTTACATTAGGAAAATAACTGTAGTGGAGAAAAATGCCAGACACAAAAAATAACTTCTACTGGGTATGAATTTAGATCCATTTGTTCAAAAAAAGAGAAGGGCTAAGCCAGAGACCAAAATAAGAAGGGCCTTGACTAGAGATGAGAAGTCCTGGAAAAAATACCAGAAAAATTGGGGGGAAAACCAGGTCCCACCCCCCAATTTTTCCCAAACAGCTTTGGAAAAATAATAATAAAAAAAACTGTTTTCCCCCCAAGTTTTCCAGTTTTGTCTTCCAGGCATTCCTATCTGTAGCCTTGACATTACATCCTATATTGCTATATCGCCATTGGCATACGTTAACTGCTGAAATTTCTGTGCTTCATCACAAAACTAATTTATGCCCTTCCCAACTACAGAATTTTCAGCTGAAACCACAGGATCCCTTCCCTGGCAATTTATTCAATTGATTTCTTCCGAATCTTTCTTCTGAGCTCAACTTGCGTTAGTGCTCAGAGTGGCTTTGAGCCCAAGCAGTACTGCTGGATACTGCTAGGAATCAGGAGAAGAAAGGTTCTGAATAGGACGAATAGCAAAGTTCTGGAGGCAAGATGGAAGAAGCAGAAGACTAGGAGGCAGGCAGAAGTTCTTGCCCAAAGAATTGGGGTTATCATAGAAATCACGTCTCTTCAGCTCTTGAACCCAACACTTACCAGAGCTGTTCTTTTCAAAACCAAAGCCTTCGAGGGAGCCGTGGGGGGTAGACCTATTTCCCATACCTAGGAAGAGAGACATGAAAGGAACTTTACAAAAGAAGTCTGAATCCAGCATAGCACTGCTGTAGGCAGCTCACATGCTTTTCTCTACTTTTTTCTCCAGCATCAGATGAAAATAACTTTATCAGCAATTATTTTTATTCTATCATCATTGTTTTATAAATAAGGTAGCAAATGTATCTAATATTCCTTCCTCCTATTTTCCCCACAACAACCCTGTGAGGTGGGTTGGACCGAGAAAGAGGAACTGGCTCAAAGACAAAGTCATCCAGTTACCTTTCCTGCCTAAAGCAGGACTAGAACTTTCACTCTCCTGGTTTCTAGGCCAGGACCTTAACCACTATCCCAAACTGTCTCTCCATTTACATTCTATTCATTCAAATAAAAAATTGGTCACCAACTGCCACTGAGATAAGAAGGTTCAGGTATTTTGAAAACTGCTTCCTCTCAGAAAATATAGCACCAGACTGCACATTTGCAAATGAATTACTGGGAGCAGATTATTGGATCTGAGGACAAATTGCCTGAAACCATGAGGCCCAGCTCTTCCAGTGTCAGGGTGATGTTGTAGCAACTGACTTACTTCCTGGCTAAAGAGAGGCACAGAAACAGAATAAATTTTACTTCCACCCTCCTAACAATAAAGGCTGCATGAAAATTGAAGGAGCATATCCATTCTTACTCTTAACAGTTGTTCCTTTAATTCAGTTGAAGATTTGCTGTAAGTACCCTTCAAAGTGAAATTATTCTCACCTGGCTACAATAATTTGGCCTAGAATTATAATTCTACTTTAGCTCGAGCACCAGGCTTTATTCTGGAATATTTGAAAAAGGCAAAATAGATGGTTTAACCTCCCCAAACTAGAGGTAATTGGATAGGATCATTCTCAAAGATAGTATTTTCTTCCCTCAGTTATTCAGGCCAAGAAATCATGCTCACCTTAGCATGGAAGGAAAGGAGGAAAAATGAGAAAAAGGAAAATAAAATTACATATTTTTTTTAACTGAAAAAGGTAATACAGGGGATCTACACAGCACTACATTCTTATCTTGGCAATATTAGTTTACCTGCTGAAGGCAGCTCTTTAGGTGGCTGAATAACACACTGAGGCAACAGCACATCTGAAAATAAAGTGCCTGCCAGGTCCTACAAGGAGAGAAGCAAGCAAAGGGCAATGTGATGAACAGTCATACAGAAAACCCTTCCACACCATAGGCTTTGAGAGTATCAAGAGCTCATAACTGGGTCTTGTCACTCACCTGTGCAGTCATCCGCACCTTCTGATACAGGCTGTTGCCATGGAGAGGATCAGGAGGCCCTGTGAATCCTACAAGGTAGAGGAGATGGTGAGACAGTGAAAGAGCAGAATCCATGCGTGCTTTGCATAGATTTCATTCCTTATAGATTCCTAAAAACAGCAACTGCAACAACCAAAGCAGCTGAGTCTGTTTTGCAGCAATGAAAAATATTCTATGCAACAAGTTCCATATCAACAATCCTAGTATAAAACATACCCACAACAGAGAAAGCAAAAGCACTTGGACTTATCTACCACTTCATAATGCTTCACAGCACTCTCTAAACAGTTTACAATGTCAGTATATTGCCCCCAACAATCTGGGTCCTTATTTTACTGAAGAATGGAAGGCTGAGTCAACTGTGAGCTGATCAGGATGATCCTGGATGATCAGGATGATCCTGGCAGCAGGCAGTTAGCCTGCAATACTACATTCTAATCATGGCACCACCATGGCTCCTATAATCCACAATCATAAAGAGTTCTATAATAAAGATCACTTGTATTGATGCCAAATAATAAATGAGGTTTTATGCATGTAAATGTGTGCGGGACCTACAATACCCAGAAATAGTTGCCAATCCATCTTCACCTCCCTCTTCTCTATGCCATAGAAAATAATGAGCAAGAGATATATCTAAAGTCAAAGTCACCCATTAGGAGCAACACCTTCAACCTATCTGAAAAATTAAAATAATTTAAAATGTTTATTTTATTGGAGCAGTCTTCTTGGCAGGCAAAGATACTTTGGAACTGATAGTACAGTGACAGCTCTGTTCTTCTCATGGACCACTGGAGTCCATGGAGAGGAGAAAATTGTATTCTCCATTTGCTTCTAGTGTAGTGTTAAGGAGCACTGTTCCATGTGTGCCTAACCCAGGAGATCAGTGGGACCTATCCCCTGATGGTTATTTAACTAATAAGTTATATTTGAATTGCAAATCAAGAAGCCATTTTCCGACCCAAACTTGCTAACTAGCCTTATCTTTTCTCAGTGTCAAACCCTTCAGTTGTAATGTATGACAATAACATTAACCATGCTGATGTTTTATCAGAGATCACATAGGTGCTGAGTGTACATTATATAACTATTTGGAAGACATAGTTATTCTGGTTGGAAACTCTGACCTACCTATGGCTTCCTGAATGAATGAAGAATTCCTCTGAAGCTGCAGAAGGAAAGGTGACGAGCCATGGGTACACATATAGAGCAGGATCTTAAGCACCTAAGAATGCAGAAGCTAAGTTGGGATTGTGAAAATAAATTTAAAAGTATAAATCTTTGTTTTTGTTTCAAAGTTACGGATGCCTATTCCAATGAGCCACTCTAGTTTTTGGCCACATTCTTTCAAGCCACTTTTTTTTTTTACCTTTAGCTTGATATGGCATGAGTTGCTCTGAAGACGATTGAGGAGGTATTCAAGAAGACAGTGACTACTTCCTGTTGATTCATGGGAGATCTCTGGAAGTTTGTTATGTTAAAGAGTTAACAACATAAAGGAACTGATAGACAAGCATCGCTCAGACTTTTGTGCCGGTTTGCCTTCCAAGTCCTACATTTCTTGAATTGCTAGAATAATTTTTTTTTTAATACAATGGAGTTTCAATATATATAGGTATGGAATTAAGCAAATGGAGGGGGGGATGCAACTAAAAAAATGTAGCTGCTGCTCTCCCAATCTGTTGCAAGATTCCAGAACATTAGCTGTCTTAGGCTCTGTTATAGCCACACATTTTTGCTATTAACAAAAGTGAGCACTGCATAACTAAAATGATTTCATGAATAGATCGCATACAGATCATCCAACTGTTCTAAAGATCAAAAGATACTGGCAATCTCTTCAAGCAGATAACCTGGGCATGGAACTTCATCATCTGAGGTGCCTTTGATTAGAGTGGGTAGCTGAAGAAAAGAACACACATATATACAAAAAGTCACTTTGGATTTTTCCTAATATATAATTGTTAGTATCAACAACCAATGGCACTATGAGGCAGTAGAAATTAGACATAGCAATGAGAAAATACAGGTAAGCCTAATAGTATCATTTCATGAATAAGGAAACATTACTATCAGAGTTCATTTTTTGTAATAGAATATGGCATACCCTAATAGTAGAAAACAGTATCTTATATTTTACAATATTTACAACTATCTTTTACAAAAATTGGTACAACAAAAGAATGAAGCCTGTATTTTTTCTGCCCAAAAAGGGCTAAAAAAAACCCCATCTCCAAATGCAGACAGAAGAAAAATGATCTTCTTTGCTTCCAAATGCTTAAATGATTATTTCATTTCAAGCAAACTTAACCTAATACAATGTGACTTCCCTGCACACTGGCTGACATCTCAAGTTATCGCTGGTTATATTTGAGGCACCTGGTAACACCTCTATTTACAAGTAGGTGTCATCCTATGTTTGCACTGCTAAGTGGAACATTAATATCACTTGTGGCTTGTGCCTTGCTGGACTTACTATCTGGCTAGTATAAATTATGCAGCTTTAACAATCTTCTTCAAAAATGTTTATTTCAATTAAATTCTCTGGTAGCATCACAGAGCTGTAAGCCACTATCATTTTATCACTGAAATATAGCATAGAAACTATAAAGTGTTGATGCTGGGATGATTGGTGTCTTCATTTTTTAATCCCAATTCACATATGCTGCTGGTCTCAGAGCGCTTTACAGACTCCATTACTTCAATGTTAGTAAATATTTTTATTTTTATTTGTCAATTGCTTACAAGATAATAGGTATAAGTAAAAACATAGTTATGAATACATGGATACATATGAGAAAAATAAAAACTATATAAAAGAAACAATAGGACACGGACGGTAGGCACGTTGGTGCGCTTATGCATGCCCCATGTTGTATGTTTGAATGCTCTTGTTTACAGGTAAATCAAAGCCTGATGTTATTAAAAACAAAGAAACAAGCCTCTATGGAGGATTCTGCAAGCCTTTTCAAGCAGCATGCAACATACAAGCTCCACCTCTACACCTTGCACTGATAAACCATATTTCTTTTCTTCTCTGCCTTATACTACTAAAGCACTGAATTATCAAAAGAACTGAAGCATCTAATACATCTCTAGAAAAAAAAATCAGAACTTCATCTGGCTTCTTGACCTCCACCCTACCGCAGAAATTTTAGGATAATTTAATACTCTAAATCTCCATACGCCAGTCCCTAAAAAAAATTCATGTTATTTTAAGCTAACCCGAGTCAAGAAACTCAACCGATCTCGCAAAGTGACAGCCGCCATGGTGACTTCCGGGTCCAGCCATACGCTTCAACAGGCCGCCTCCCGGGACGACAGCTACTCCAATCGAACGGCGACCCTATCCGATCCAGCCAATCACAGCAAACAGCTGTCTCATCGTCATCAGACACCGCCAGCGAACGGCGACAGCCAAGGCCCGCGGCTTTCCATTTTTCGTCCAATCGGAAGTTTCTGGTGCAGAACGGGACCAATCGGGGGAGAGGGAGCGTGGAGCCGTTCCCCCAGTCTTAAAGCGGGGTCGTGTTTAAGGCCCGGCTCCAGGCCGACAGTGGAGAAGCGAAGGGGCGGGGGGTGTTAAAAAACAAACAACGCTCCTTCGCGGAAGGAGGCCCTGGTTATGGCTGCGTCCAGCCGATAGCTGGCTTTTACACTTCAAGCTATGTCCAGTCGAGCAGTCTGGGAACGTGTCCGAGCGAGGGTGCAGCGCTTCCCTGAACTGCTGGCGAGTTGCGGGGAGCAGGTAGGGAGTCCGGAAGAGGCAGATTGCAGGGGCAGCGAGAGGCAGCATCCCCGTCACCTCATTCCATACACTCAGCATTTAAGGGAAACCGTCCTTGAGAAAATCTGCTTGCGTGGTCGCTAGGACTTGAAAATGACTTGATGGCATATAATTATTATTAATAATACTAACAATAATTATATCGTCGCAGGATGGAAGCTATTATTATTTCCATTCTGCGATATCTATAACACCATCAAACATCCCAATTTGCCTATCCCAGGTCCTTGGTAAGGACTCGATAGGTAGACAAAATGCCAAACTCAAGTCTAAACATCTGGCTGACTGCAATGATCAATAATAGCAATAATATTAATATAGAAAAGGGAAGCTAGATGGGTTGCAAAGAGTTTTAGGTAGTGTCGATTGCCTCCTACTTAACACCAGTATCGAACTTGTCAACTTTTGAGAAGTGGGGACTTAAGCTCCCAGAATTCTCCAGCTATGAGGCCCCAAACTTTTCCATAATGTCTGGGGAATTTTGGGAGTTGAAACCCACATAACTTAAAAGTTGACAAGTTTAATAAAGGAGATTGTTGACAAGTTTGAAAAACATTGGCTTATAGATCTAAGCTGCGTGGGACTTGGGATCATCAGTATAGTGTTCATACAATACATATATTTCTCTTCCATGCGAGGCAAGTGAGGCTGTACAGATGGTGACTCAGTGCCTAGAGAAGCTGTAAGGTGGGGAGGAGCCAGTTGCAACTCAACCCTAGCAAAAGAGAGGGGTTCTGGGTCTTTGTGTCTGCTACCCCACCCCACCAGACCAGGGTTGACATTTCTGAGTCTGGATGGGGCCCTCCTGGAAGAGCAGGTGGCAGCTGTGCTGGAGTGGGAGGACTTTACACAAATTAATCTTGTGCACCAATTGTACCCACTCATACCTTAGTCACTTCCCATTTGCATTACTGCAACACACTTTATATGGGGCTGCACTTAAAGGCCATTTGGAAGCTACAACTGGTTCAGAATATGGAGGCACAGTTTCAGGTGCCCTGCATCTGATTAACACCACGGTTGCATGAGCTGCAGTAGCCTCCAGTTACTTTCTGGATGCAGTTTAAAGTGCTGGTTATCGTCATCTTTAACACACTGTATATGGCCCAAAGCTGCATTATTGGCAGAACTGCCCCTCTCTGCCCATCCTACTAGGTTAGATAGGTGGCTCCACTCTAGATTCCCTCCCTTAAATGTTGTCAGTTGATGAGACCTCAAAGGTACACTTCAGTGGCCACTACATTGGAATAGCCTCATATATGAGAGATTCCTACCCTTTAGCCTTCCAGAGGGTCGTGAAGAACTTACTATTGTTGTAACAATTGGATAAAGATGGGGTTGAATTGGGAGGCTGTTTGGTCTGGAACCTGAAGGGAAGGGTACTTTTATTTTATTGGTGTTTTTAATGAATTGTGAGTTGCCTAAAGTCATTATGTGAGGTAGGCAGCTATAAAAAAAGTCCCCAAAATAAGGAAGTAAATGTCAGAAAGAAAAAGAGAAAGTTGGTCCTTCAAGGTGTGACTGTTGTCTGTTCAGGATCCTGTCCCTTTCTGAACTGTTGCATGCAGGCATGTATTTGTATGTATTCTTTTTTTTAAGGGAAAGCACTGCACAATTTGCCTTTGCTGTGCTGGGAAACAGATCCTCCTCTTAGAGTGAATTGTCTTGTAAGGTCTGAATAAGAATGGTATGAGTTAATCCTATTCCTTTGAATAAAGTTTGGCAGAGATTAGAAATCTCTAGGTGGCTTAAAAACCAAAGTGGAACAAATTGGAAAAACCAGATACATACTCAGACCAGAATAGTCCATGGTATCTCAAGCAAAGTGCCTAAGGACTACTAAACTTTTGTTATTTATGAAAATATTTTAAGCTACAGACAAAAAACCCCAAACCAGGACATGTGAAAAGTAACAGTAAAATAAAATTCCGTATATCCTAAAACTGAGATAATATTTATTACATATGCACTTACTTGACTAACTCCTTGTGACTTACTGAAGAATATAGGTCTCTGGTTATACCTTTGTTATTCTTAAGCATCTGGATTATTACTACAGTGAAGGCCTACAAAGATAAAACTTGCTTAGGGTTTACCATAGTTTTAATGTGCCTTGCAGTCTGGATTTAATTAGAGCTGATATTCGCAGGCCACAGTTTATGGCAAATGTATTGCTTCCAATACTACTGAACATGGAAACTTGAAAAAGGATGTGTGTGCCAAGGAATTTGCAATGCTGATGGATTGCTTCACAGAGGCTGTGAGTTGTTTGCATTTTGTTTTTCATTTCACATGGTTAACTTTTCATTTGGGATCCGGTTAGGAGCAAAACATACTATAAATACAGAGATATATAAATACACAATAAAAATGTGCTGTTGTCATCTTTTCTATTTTTGGTAGCTGGAAATGTGGAGTGCTGATCAAAAAATCATGGAAATAATCCTAGTTTAACAGACCTAGGGGATTAAAGTTCTCTCTATTCCGATTCTCCCCCTTATTAAAATAGAAGTTCACTCTTGCTGCAAAGAATTTATAGCACCTACAAATTGAAAGGAAGTTCAGTAGTAAATGACATCAGCAGCTGCTAGAGCTTTGCTTTGCTTTGCTTTTAGGATTACCACACTGAATTGTTCTTTCTTGACATTTTTACAGCTTTTAGGCTTGTTTCTGTATCTTTGGCAGGAGAAATAGTTTTTCTACAGGGAGAATAGCTTTCAGAGTGCCCCAAAACTTTGCACTTGTAAGAAAGCATCTGTTTATAGATAGTCCTCGGCTTATGACCATAATTGACCCATTTAATGGCCTTTCTTGCCACAGTTGTTAAGTGAATCACTACAGATGTTAAGTTAGTTACAGAATTGTAAAGTGAACCTGGCTTCCCCGTTGACTTTGCTTGTCAGAAGGTTGTAAAAGGGGATCATATCCTGGGAGACTGCGACTGTCATAAATACGTATCAGTTTCTAAGCATCCAGATTTTGATCACATCACTATGGGGATGCTGCAATGGTTATAAATGTGAAAAACAGTCAAAAGTCAACTTTTTTCAGTGCCGTTGTAATTTCAAACCATCACTAAGTGAATGGTTGTAAATTGAGGACTACCTATATTTGAAATGCAGGGGTTGGTAAGAGGTCTGCTAATCAGTTTTGCTGTTAGAAAACCACATTACCCAACACAAGCATGCAGACTTATCTGAAACTTACTGGTGCTATCATGGGATTTTTATTCATTTAGTTATAGCTTAGTTTGACCAAAGAAACTTACGAAAGAAATTACTACGGTAAAAAAAAAAACTCTGTGTGATTTTCTTTGGGACAAGCTTATCCCTTTTAATATGGAAGTTAGTAGAATTTAGATAGACAGGTAGTCCATGACTTACAACCACAATTGCTAAGCAAGACCGTTTTTAAGTGAGTTGTGCCCCATTTTACTTTTTTTTTTTTTGCCACAATTGTTAGGCAGATCGCTGCATTTGTTAAGCGAATCTGATTTCCCCCATTGACTTTGCTTGTCAGAAGCTAGCTTGGACGGTTACATGACCCTGGGACACTGACTGCAGTTGTCATAAATACATGCCAGTGGCCAAGTGCTCCAATTTTGATCACATAACTAGGGGGATACTGCAGGGATTCTAAGTGTGCAAACTGGTCATAAGTCACTTTTTTTCAATGTCATTATAACTTTGAATGGTCATTAAAGGAATGCTTAAAGTCAAGGACTACCTGTACCATATTTGCTTTGCATATTAATTGTTATAAGGATAGCAGACAGCTGATCCATTTTGAAATTTCATTGGCCTTATGCTACAGGATATATTGGTATGAGTATATTTACATAATTCTTAATATTTATTCTAACAAAATTGATCTTTCTTTGCAGGCAAAAAAGAATGTAAAGACTTGAAATGGATACTGATGGCAAATCTGGGATTTATAGTTGTTTTCAGCACAGAAGAATAAAGAACTTTTCCATCTGTCGTTATATTGAGATCCAGAAATGGAATATTTCCCAATGTGCCAAGAGCTAATGGCTTTTCAATTTATGCATGTGTGTTCTGTAAGCACATTCTGGAAAACTTTTTTAAAATGTAAAACTCAGTGTGTGGGGTTTTTTAATTTAAACATGGGATGAGCAGTATAATTTCTCAGAGTGGCAAGAGGCAAAGTTCAAGGCTATGAAGTATAAAAGCCAGAAAATATATAAATACCATTTAATTCAAATTTTTGTAATGCTAGAATTTCTATTAGCAAATATGTCAGCTTCCCTTCGGTAAAATATGACATTAATATACCAGAAGCCTTTTCCTATCAGTGGAATGTCTGTTAAATTAGCTACTTGTACCAATTTTGCCCTGAGGATTTACTAATTCCCTTCTTATTTACAGGAATAAAATAAGATACTCCTGTAGATCTTGCTTAAGCTACTTTATATTGTTAATTCCAGCTCCTGAAAATCTGGGGCAAAGAAAGCCCAGAGTGGCCAACTCCCTAACAGTCATTGGTCATTTACCCAAAAATATCCAGTTATGGTATATAAAAAAATCCTGGTATTTGCAACTTTGAATATTTGATTTCCCGTCGGAATATGAATTTCCTCACTAAAGCTTTGGGGAAAAAAAATCCAATCAGTGAAATTGCCTAAGGACTAAAATGTGTTTGCGTATATGTGCCAAGGTTCCACAGAACAGCTCAAAATCTGACTAGTAACAATATGAAGATTGGGACAAAGTTGTGCCTCTTTGGTTGGATAGGAATGCTAGGCCTCCATGTTAAGGTTCCCGAGTTTCTAAAACTCTTAGGGGATTTGTTGGACTCTGCTCAGACCTAGAGACACATATCAACTAGGTGGATTTCTAGAATGCAACTTTGGTCATAAAACACAAATGTTTATCTTTGTAGTAATGTTTGTGAAAATAGCAAATGGAAGCAGTTCGGTCTAGTAATTAAGGCCCCAGGCTAGAAAGCTGGAAACTCTGAATTCTAGTCCCGCCTTAGGCATGAAAGCCAGCTGGCTGATCTTGGGCCAGTCACTCTCAGCCCATAATGTCAGGCTCAGGCAACAAGCTGGTCCATTGATCAATTCCTGTCACAACCAAAAGACCAACATTAGTTCATTTTGGGGGGGGGGGGGAGAACACTGTCCTTGTGGGAAAAAAGTTTTAAATATCATATATCAGAATCTTTTACAAGTCTGTCAGTTCATTATGACCATGTCTCAGAAAATAATTGGATTGTACTCTGGCTGGGAACAAGTACAGTAGTTTTCATGAGGGTGATTAATAATATTACTTGAAGCTAGTAGTGAGCCAGTTTTGTTGATGGCATCCAAAATCAAACCAGAATGTAACAGCTAGAAAATGCATCAACAGAAATTTCCTCAACTGCGTATATTGTCTGCAACAAAGCAGTCTTGGGGTCCTGTGTTGTATAAATCAGCTACTTCCAATAAGAAAAAAAAGGCTCTGGTAAGATGCTTCAGTTCTTTTTATTGATTTGTGCAGGATAACCATAATCCCTGGGACTGGGTCATTGTACAACACTGCAAATTGAACATTTTGCTGTGGCAGCAAGTGAGGAATTCCAGATGAAATCCAGGGCTGCCGCCTTCTGTGTTCTGTTTTTCTTTGTAATTGCTTGGAGATGGATTGTTTAAAAAACTCAGGTGGAGGAATGCCAGAAGTATCTTTGGTCCTTCAATTATAGCAGACGGTCACACTGTGGCCAGAGAAACCATGACAGGGCGTCCATAGCCCTTTGCATTAAAGCAATTCGGCTGATATTTACAAAAAAAACAATCATATTTACATACTGGAGTAACAGCGATCCAACCACAATCTAATTGTGCTTTGGGCAGCACTGTTCAATGGTCATGTGGAATATCATACTAAATCTATCCTTGCCCAACAACAACAACCCCCACCCTACCCCCAGTCTCTTTAATTCCAAGATGCCCAGCAAACTCAGAGAATAGCAAAACATCTGGGGATTTTAGGTTAGGAAATGTTGCTCTCAGCCACAATTAAACCCAGCAGAAAACAAGCTGATGTCTTGCAGGTTTTTGGGGGACTATAATACCTGTAATCACTGGTCATGCTGATTGAGTTTATGGGTTTTGTAGTCTAGAATGACTAAAACTATCAGTTTGGCTATTCTTGGTTTAATGTGGTGACAATAAATCTACCACACAAATATTATTCTTAAATATGGCTTGCAAGGAGTTTGAAATCTCTAGTTTCCATTGAGCCATGACAGCGCTAGCCATAGTTTGATACAAAGACCATAATTTATTTTGAAAACTAATTGACCAAACAGAAGCTCAAGTTTCCAAACACCATGTAGCCTTTGGTGATGGAGGCTTAGGAGGGGGATTATAGGTAAGATGAAGGCCCTTTGTAGCTTATTACAATCACCTAAAATCACAGTTTAATATGATGGTCAAACAGGACCAATGAAATGCCTGAGGAAAAGTTAGAACAATAATGTTTGTAACAAGGAAAAATGCCCCTTGCAATAGTCAAGTGGTACCAGCCACATTTCTCTGTCTCCCTGAATGGAAATACAGCAAATATACTTCACAGGCAAGATATAACAATGGCATTGCACCCCCCTCCCCTCAATCTCAATTCCACGTTGCAGGCCAAGCTACGCTCCAGAAGCAACATCCGCCTTATTTTCCCCCTCTTGTTCTATGAACATAAACCGATAACTGACTTTGTTAGTTCACTATTTATAGCCAAATTCCAGATATCTTTGGACAATCATATGTCAAGCTTAAATTAGCTGTATCATTTGTTAACACAATCCTTGGGATTGTTAAGGACACCTAGAACAAATTAATTGTGTTCAAATGTTGAAGCTTGCCAACTCTTAAGACGGGACTAACATATCTCACACATTAGGGTCTCTTGAAAAAATGGAAGGGATATAGGAGGACAAGCTTTAAGTTATTCTATATGGACTCATAAAATGGACGAAAGAGGTAGATGGCCTACTTTGATAGTGCTCCCTTGAAATAATTTCATTTAAACTAGCATCTTGCAAGGCTTTTATGCACAATATAGTTCCATAATGCCCTTAAGACGGGTATGTTTTTTTTAAAACCTAGACCTATATTTTGAAAACCAAAAATGAAAAAAGGTTACTTTTATTATTGCTAATACTGGACCTGGTTGAAGAAGATCAGAGCAGTTCATAAGTTGCTGTAAAAGTGTACTTGCTAGCAATCAAGTTCACATTCCTAAGAATTTATCTTTGAAGAGAAGCTTAGCTTTCAAACATTTACAGAACTTCTTTCATCTTCTTGCAACCATTTCCAAAAGCCAAATCAACCCATTTAGCAAATGGCGGCAGAACACAAAAATCCAAACATTAAGGGAGGGTAACGTCCACATACCCCATAAAGGGATTTTCTAGCGAGGTAAAATAACAGATAACAGACTAATCCTAGACACAGAAATTAAACAATTTAAAAGCAGGAATAAAAATATACATGCTTCTTTGGAAAGATGGTGAGCGTAAAGCATTTTCAGAACCCAGAAAATAGATAAAATTGGGTTTTGCACAAAAGCTACCAGCAGAGTGAAGAGAGACCATTTTGAAAAATGAAATTGGCTGGCAGCATGGAAATTCCTCTTTCCTCCAGAGCGAACAATGCTCAGTCACAGGGGCTCAGTTCAGATTGAGCCAGTTGATCTGGGCTGCCAACGGTTATATACCATTGACAGTTAGCCGTGTAACAAACACCTTTAAGCAGCTGGTGGGTTCCCACATTTCTTCAGAGTGCAGAGACTTTCACGCCTCTTCTTCTCCCGCTGGTATCTGTTTAATCTGTCGGCTGTGAAGGGCTTGCTGGGCACCTTCTGCTGCCTGATTGAACCTAGTGTCTAATGCGCTACGGAGGTCATTGACTTTCACATCCGGGACGGGGTTAAGTCCAAATATTACACCTCCCACCTCTTCTTCCAGATCTCGCCTTTTGCGGCGTAGGTCCAGGTCCGCTTGAAGCTTGAGGTCTCTGTTGGGTTTGGCCTTTTCATAATCCCTGGACTCAGGCTTAACTACGTCTGCCTGTAAGATATGGTCACTGTCAGCTTCATGCAAGATCTCTGGAATCTTTTGCTCTCTCTTTGAATCATGCCCTTGATCGTTGGCATTACTCAGCTGTGGATGATGTGCTCCAGTGGCCATCCTCTCTTTAATCTTGGCCCTCTGGCCCTGTAAACTGTCAACCTGGTCCAAAGGTAAGCTCTGTCTTTCCTTACCTTTCACAGTTTCTTGGACCTCCAATTTCCCTGGTATGTTATCAGCAATCTTTGGTTTAAGTGGAATGTCTGGATCGTGGAAGTCTTTTTTGACCTCCTTGTCAAGGGACTCACTGTCAGAAGCTCTATGAGGAATTTTTCCCTCAGCACCATGGATGTTGGGTGCCTCTGGAATGTCTCTTTGGCTTTCAGCCCTTTTCACAACCTCCTTTCTTTTCTCAACATTGTCTGCCACTTGAATCTCCTGCCCTTTCAAATCTTCAGCCTTGGCTTGCTTCTCCTGGTGGGGTCCATCAGGCCTAGCTATCTGTGAATCACTCTTGATTGGCTCCAACTCCTCTTTGTGGTTTGCATTAGCTTGGTGTTGTACAATTTTCTCATCATCGTTTATTTGAGCCATCAGATTTTTAGCAGGAATTTCAGTTAATTTGTTTTGTATAGGCTTTAAATCTCCTGGACTAGTGTCCTGCTGTCTTTTAATTTCATCAGGATTTGGGGGCTGTTTCTCAGGCAGATGACCCAGGTTATCGCTTGGTATATTCTTTGGAGCATTTTCAATTTTGTTGTCAAGGTGATCTCTCTCTTTACTCTTGGTCAAAGACAGGCCATGTTCTGGCTGGATTTCTACTGCAAAGAAAAGTGGAGGGCTCTCAGTTACTGTATATGCAATTTAGCAAACTAGAAAACTCACCAGTTAAACAGTTTACCCAGAGACCTTTGGCAAGTCACTTAGTACCCTTCCCACTACATCTGACTACCAAAGTTACTGCATTAATTGTGAAATTATAAATAAATAAATAAATAAATGCTGTCTTAAGCTGTACCTTCTGTTTTATGGTTTATAATCTTCCTCTAGTTTTGAAACAAGTGCTGAGATGCATGGAGATTTCTTCAAACTCTAATATCATTTCCCGTCTACTTCACTAACTCCCCAACTCCTAGCAAATATGTATATATGCTAGCATGTTCAGATCATGAAGGCAGGCTGCTTTCTTAAGCTTCCAGAATTAGGATCGCTTTTAACCTACTGCTTGGAGAGGACACTGGAGAAAGGACATTTCCCGGAGCAGATTTTATAACAGCCCCACGAGCCATTTTCTAAATACTTCTTTAGGGTGGGGTGGGGGGGATTACCTTGCTTTGGCTTTTCCTCGCTTCCGTCCTCTTGCCTTTGCTGGTGGATCTCTTTGTGTTGCTCCTCAATCACTGCTAACAATTTTGCCTGCTGATCTAAGAGTTGCTTTTGCTGAACCTGCTGTTCCTTTATCACTTGCAACAGGACGGCATGGTCTAGCTGCTTCTCCTCATCTCCTGGAGGGGAGGAAGAAACTGAGGCTAGAAGGAATCCATGCATGTGGTCTACTGAACATCTCCAAGGAGAGAATCAGGAAGGCCCTTGTGCCTATTATGGCCTCTGCCATATTTGCATATATACTCTGTGCTTCTTTAATCTAGAGGCAACACGTTCATTCTTAAGCTTGGGCCTCAAGAAGCCTGATTTTCCAATCACCTTCTAGAAAGGCTTTGTCAGGAAAGGATAATTATTGTTATGGCATTCCTGAATTGTCTTGCAAACTTTCTTAATTTACAGCATGAAGATCAACAAGATGCTGTGCAAATAAGCAGAAAAGCAACTCTTGTCCCAAAGGGAAATCAAGTAATAATCCCAGCAAACTGCACATCCTGGCATGATGCAAAGTAAAAACTGGCAAAGTGGGAATTTAAAAATAAACAGTTTCTCACAGTCACATAGTCAAAAGAACTGAAAGAAATACGCCTTTAAGTAAAACATTCATATATGGTTACACAGACACCCACATCTATAGAGGCATGGGGATCCCTACATATATTTCATTATTACAGTAGGGCATCATTTTCTTCTTTTTGTTATTTTATAATTGTACTTTTCACTAGCTGTCCTGATTTATTAAACAAGTAAGCAAATTTAGGGAAAGAAACAGACTTAAAAGGAGCCATCCTGCCCTCCCAAACAGTCTTTCCTGTTCCACTTGGGTATTATTTAGATCAATTTTACATTCTTACATAACGTGGTCACTGCTGTTTCATAGGAAGCAAGTGGGAACATATATCAATAACCTAAGCAGTTTTCTATAGCAGCTTTCCTCCAAATTGGTGTCTTCTGTGAGTTAAGACCGCAGCTCCCAGAATTCCCACTAACCACGATGAAAGGGGAGAATCATCCTGGAAGCTAGAAGAGTATGAATCCTGCCTTAGGCACAAAACCAGCTGGATGACCTTGGGCCAGTCCCTCTCTCACAGCCTTAGGAAGACTAAGGCAACCCACCTCCCAAGAAAACTACATGGAGTTTTCCATGTGTGGCACAAATCAAAACTGTCTTGAAGGCAAAATGTCTATGGAGATATTCAATTATCCAGGTCATGGGGGTCCTAAAGGTGGTGCCCCCCACCCAAAAGAAGAATGGACTTTCTTGTTTTTTTCCCCTTTGAAAACTTTTTGCTTCTCATCCAAGAAGCTTCTTTGGTTTTAACTGGTGGGGAATGGAAGGATTTGTATTCTTGAGGGTTGGTTGTTAGCACTCTGAGACTCCTTGAGGCCATTTGGGGGTTCATCTGTATCCTGAGTCACCTGAATCAGAGAGCAAACAGGTGTGGAACCTTCTTGGGACTGCTGAAAAGACTGCACTGAAACAGGAAATAGGTGGTATCTTGAAGGCAAGGAAAAACACAAAAGGCTAGGAATTCTGGGAACTACAACTCCAGCATATCTGGAAATCAATTTGGGGGAAATCTGCCCCCTTGCTTTCATCAAGCTCTCACATTTTTTAAATGCAGCTTTTTCTCTTTACTACAGGGACATATGCTGCTTTTTCAATCTTTCTTTTCTCCTCAGAGTTCACAACCATTTCATTCTTAGCATACATGACTCCATGCATAAAACATAATGCATCCAAGAGTTCTTACAACCCACTGGAAGGGTCCTGGTTGTTACCTACACTGAACTAAATAGGAAATGCTTATTTTAGAATACAAGTGCTCCATTGAACATCATAGGCATTACTTAGTTCAGAACAGTTTCGGGCCCCACAACACAGTTCAGAAAGAACTATGCTTTTCCAGAACAAGCAAACGTATTTTGGAACAACCAGTTATATATCAGCAAGCTGGCAATCTCTTGCTAGCAACTTATAAACACATTAAATGTTATCAAGACAATGGGGAAGAAATTAATGTAAAGTTAATTGCCAGTAGAGGTACAGATTAGAGAAAAGGGATGTAAGGTAATAATCAGTTTGTCTTAGCATTAACCCCATTGGCAAACAGTCTAGGGAAATCAGAATATTTTGACTGGCAAGGGGACAAAATCATTTTCATATGCCTGGAGGATTTCTGAACAAAACGTATGGTGTTCAAAACACAAGAGAACTGGCAAGACCCAAACTATTTTTAGGAAATCTACTGCTATGGCCTTTTCAGTCATATATAAAACAAGAATTTGAGGACATATAACAGGAGCCTGCTTTAAGGTTATGTTTTAAGTTGTCAGACTGGCAGGCACTGCATTTTGACTGAAAAAGGAAGAGTTTCTGGAGCCCAACAGCTCTCCTAACGCTGTCGACTTTTGAAGAGTTGTGGGAAAAGAAAGAAGAAAAAAAAAAAGAAGAGAGTTGAGGCTGCTCTGTTTTAAAATATTGCCTATTCAGATGCACCCCCAATACAATCACATCTCTTCCTAGGAAACGGGGATCCCGGTTGAGAAGGCTCTTCCTTCACAGCTGTAGTGTTAAATGGAATGTGGCTCCATTACAAGCAAATGGCTCTACGAGACCTGCTCATCTGCCCTTCACCAAAATGACAGGATTGCATTGCTCCGGTGCTTGTCGCCTCAGATTACACGTTCTGAGATTATCTGAAGACAAGATTGCCTGGCCTTGCAGTCCAGCCTTTATCTTAGGATCGCACAGTACAATTAAAGAATTTGGCCTATGCATGTACAGCATAACATCCACACACCAAAGGCTGCCAAGGAAGCAGATGGTAACCTCAGTGTGTGTGTGTGTGTGCGTGTGCGCGCGCGCACACACACACACACGTGCATATGTATACACATCTGCTCTGTGGAAGAAAGACAATGCTTACCCTCAAGCTTGTTCTCGGACTTCTCTTCTGCATTACGAAGCTCTCTCTGCTCTGTTTGGGCTGGACCAAACTTCTCTGAAGAAACTACCTCTTTTTTATCATCTGAAAAGAAGAAATGGACAGATATTTCCTGGAGGGAGCAAAGAAAATGACAGATGTTCTCTGTCCCTGCCCCCCTCCATTCTCTTTGCAGCTTCCATCCAACTTGATTGCCGAAGAAAAAGTCATAAAAAATATTTAACAGCATTATAGCCTGCTGGCAAGAAACCACTGCTAACTGCCTAAGGCTATTAAAATGCAAGCCCCAGCCCTGGAGAGCTATGCAGTGGGACACCTATGCAATGAGGCACCTGTCAAGATCTGGCTCTGAATCCCCAATGACCAGAATGGTGTAGCACCTGATGCTTAGCAAAGAAGTGAAGAACTGCACAAGAGCCAAGGCACAGGATCTAACATGGCCAATAATTCAGTGCACCCCTTTCCCCAAGCAATGACTGAAACGGCTCTTCAGTGGTACCCCCACACAAAGTAAAACTGTGATTTTAGGTCAGGGCAAGTAGGAACTTGGGAATTCATCAGTATAAGATTTTACATTTCCTCTTACACATAAGTATTTTTTTTTAAAGTGCAAACGAAGCAATTCATAATTATTTTGCTTGGGATTAAAAAAATTTCCACTTTTTTTTTTAATTTGCAGAAGTAGACTTCTTTCTTTCAGGGAAAGCTAGGGTGTGGCCATGTGGGAGAAAACACTGGCACAAGGTGGACATTGTAAATAAAAAGATAGAAGCCTTGTGGCAAAGAAAGAGCTGTGAACAAGGCAGGTCCATTCAGTAGAGATTTTGAAAAATTCCTGAAAAGCCCAGCTCAGACTTTAGCAGTTTAGGCTGGGTGTGGCTTTAGTTGTCTCTACAGTTCTTCCAGGTGTTTTATGGCACAAATCAATTTCTGCAATAATTTCCTGTCAAGCGTATAAATGCAAAATCTCAGAAGACCAAGTGATACATGAAACTTCCCTGGAACCAAAAGAAGGAGAGAAAAGTACATGTGCTTCATTTTCCTTCTCCGTGGATTTTACTTTCTTTGCCCCGTTCGACTACTTGCCAATTGGCACCCTTCTTCCCACCCACGGCCTTGGTCTCTCTCCTTATTCTGCTTTTCTAGCTCACCATCTCTGTGAGGAGACTGATCGTCCTTGTGTGCAGCCCCCTCTGGCGCTGGCTTGGGGTCTTTTACGGGCTGGTCTTCCAGCTTTTTCTGTCCATTCTCTTCATCGGCTTGTTTAGGAACTATTTTATGTTCTTCCTTCTCCACCACAGCATTGTTCTCCACCAGGACATCCTTGTCTTCCGGTGGCCGGTTCTGTTCAGATTCCTCCCGGTCCTGACCCTCGTCCACTGCTACCCCATCGCGGGGTACTGGTGGCTCATGGCGATGGGCTTCTCCCACAGGTTGTGCAATGCCTATATGAAAAGAAACAAGAGATTCTCAATCAAGAATGGCATAGAAAGCAAACACGTTTGGTGAAGTACAATTCATGCATATTGATACGGTGGTGTCTACAGTGCTCTCTGACCTACTAAGTGGGAACTGAAAATTAGAACAAGCTGTGGATCTGTTGCTTCTCTGACTTCAATATTCCTAGCCTCTTTCCAGTTCCAATGCTACGCTACCTTGATCAGGCCGGTCCAGTTGTACCTCCTCCTTTGGCTTCTCCTTGTCTTCTCTCTTAGGCATATCCATGGGCACTTTGATCTGTGGCTGTTCCACCTCTTCTTTCTCATTTGCCAATTTGGGCCTGTCACGGTTATCAGCCACTTCTTCAACTGCAGGGTCTTGATCTGAAAAGCAGGGTTAGAAATGATTAAGGGAACAGACTTCCCCTCCTCGTCTGCTCCCCATTCTCTCTTGTGGCTATATCTCCTGCTGTTTAAGGTTTTTAATAAAGTGTAGCTGTCATGGAAAACAGATGGTTAGTTTTTGATGGTATCAGTTATGCTTGGGAAGAAGCAACCTTCCCTTTTACCCAGTGCCATCTTCCCCATCTATAACACCACCATGCTGCCATTTTCCTCCACAAGGAAAAGGCGAAATATGAGTGTGAGTGCAAGAGATTCTTGCAAGAGTGAGCAGGTGTGAGTGCAAGATTCTTGTAAGAAGCGACACTAATCCAATCCTCTCTGTCTCAAACACACACCTCATTCCATTTTATAGTAGAAGAGAGAGAAGTTAGGAAAAGTAACTTCTCTCTGTATGTGTGCGTGTAGGGAAAAATTTTGAATTTCACCCAGGGGTGAAATTCAAAATTTTTCCCTACCGCCTCTGTGGGCGTGGCTTGGTATAATAGTAATAGCAACCAGGGGCGATTGGGGTGATATTTTTCACCGATTCAAATCGTCCCTACCACCTCTCCTGAGGTGGGCCGAGGTGGTTGAATTTCAACCCTGATACACACCCATGTATGCACGCACAAATAATTGTGCTGGGTTGTTAGAACAAACAAAACGCTGCAGTTTGGGATGAGTGGACACTAGATGGCAGCATTGCTCTTCCTCGTGTTTACATGCTATGCATGACAAGCAGTGTGAAGATGTTAGGCATGGCCAAGGGAAGTTACCTGCTGGAATTAGCCAACCTAAAAGAAACGTACTGAGGAGTTGGTTTACAACAGACGCGAAAGAGACAGAGAGCAAAGAGAAATTCCCAGAAGGGAGAAAACCAAGGAAGAAAGGCAGAGTGAAGAAAGGAGCAGCTGAAGGCTGTCTGGGACCTGTTTATTCGGGCCTCCTGCTGTAGGAATTGCCAGCCTCTCTCCCTGCTTGCAGATACAGGGAGAGCTCTCTGCTAAATCCAGAATTAACAGGAGGCAGGGCGTCACAGAAGAGGCTTCAGGCTTTCCCAATTATGCCTCCAGTTTAAAACCCTGACGCTGCTCTCTGCAGGAAAGCAGCCTGAAGCAAGCAGGAAGAGTGGCAGTCCTACTCCTGGGCTTTGAAATTCTCCAGGTGGATGGGGCAGAGCCTTCTCGTCTCCAGCTGCTTTACTGACTAAACGGTTAAGAATACGCCCAACCTCTCCCCCATCCAAGCATAGCCGTAGAGGTTCACCTTGAAAGTCATTTTGTTTAAAAAGAGTGAATAAAGGAGAACACAAAGACTAAATCTTCCATTATCAGGGGCCTATACATTGCAAAAGAGCCTGAAGAGTTAGCTTTATCCAAAAAAAAAAAAAAAAGCAGTGCGGTTCAGACTGTTCCCTCACTTCTGGCAGCTGAAGTCACGCCAAGCATTTCCTGCAGAGTTGAAGTCTGAAATAGTCATTCTCACACTTACGTGAACACCCTTCTCCACCCTGTCCCATTTTCATTTCTGGCTCCTTGTGAACATTAACTTTGCCTCCACCCACACACCTTCCAAGTGGGGCAGATGAACTTCAGCAGGTACACAAGGTAGCCCATGGGTGCCAGGAACAGAGCAGAGAGGGGGAGAAGGCAGGAGGGCTTGGCTTCACGCAGCTGCCTCAGCATTGTCAGGGAGACCGAATGGAAGGGAAAGCAAAGCAGCCTGAAGAATTACAGCCAACGTCCTACTTCCAAGCCAAGCTGGCTCCGTGTTCCAGAGAGCCCCCGGGAACGATGTGCTCCATTCAAGCTGCATCCTCCTCACTCCTCGCTCTTGTTCACCACTTAGTCTAAAAGAACACAGTCGCTCCATTTTTGGGAAGAGGGGAGCCCAGCCTTCTCTAACCTGGGCTCTTGCTATGTCTCTGGGTTTCAACTCCCAGAATTTTCAACAATGGCTTCCCTGACGGCAAAATTTTGAAATCCACATATCTGGAGGGAGCCCAGATTAGGGAAAGCTGGTTTAGTCATCAGAAGCTCAGATTAGCTGGAGACCAATAGGCAACGAGGAGCAAATGAATGAGCAATCTCAAACTATAGCCCCATTTTTTTTTGTTCCAAGGAACCTATCGGGGAAAGAGGATGGGTAGAAGAAAACATTATCTAGAATACATATGATTAGCAACCTTTGGGTTACTAAAACTTTTTGAAAAAACATTGTCAGGGACCACAACGAAACTAGAACTCACCGTCCTTTGGAATCTGGCAAATTAGCAGGGCACAGTTAGAACTACTTCAGATACTTTTTTCATACTTGCAAGTTAATAGAAATTGACTGACTTTCAAGTAACTATATTTGGACAATATGAATGTCTGGCAGCTGTAATATAAGAAAGATAACCAGTATTTCTAGAAATACAAGAGGAAGCAAATACAAAACAAAGTCTGTAGCTACAACAATTGCAACAACAATTGCAAAAAAAAAAAAAATTCCCCAAACTCTTCTGCTGAAATTAGTGTGACTGGCTGTCCCTGGGTCCTAGAATATGTTGTGAATGTTGTGATTTCAATGGCATGTAATGTAGATTGAAGGGTGCGCGATGGCTCAGTGGTTAAAAATGCTGAGCTTGTCTGCTGGAAAGCTGATAATTGCACGACAGGGCGAGCTCCACTATTTGCCCCAACTCTTGCCAACGTAGTGGTTCGAAAGCATACAAATGCAAGTATGGTAGATAAATGGATACCACTTTGGTGGGAAGGTAACAGTGTTGCATACGCCTCGGCATATAGTCATGCTGGCCATATGATTATGGAAAATATCTTTGAACAACACTAGCTCCCTCGGCTAAGAAATGGAGATCAGCACCGCTCCCTAGACATGACTGGACAGAGATGACCTTTACCTTTATAATCAAGGCTAAAAGTGGGCATTTTACGGCCCCTGGACACATCTGGCCCTTTGGCTGTCCCTGTTCAGCCCATTTGGATTGCTTTTATTCTGAAAACAACTATTTTTTTTCTCAATTCATGTATGTAAATTCATAAATGAGATTCTTCAGAGAAAATATGGACAGAATCCTATAGAGCTCTACTTAATGTCTTTAAACCTGGGAGCTCTTATGTGACAACATGAGGATATAATACATTTTGTTTTAAGTATGAAATCACTGTATTTCCATTATCCTTGCTAGACAAGCTGCTGAGTTCTGTCTACACCGTTTAGGGACCATGCAGGAGTGGGCACCCTACAGTCCTTGGGCCACTTATGGAATATTTTTGCAGTTCCCAGAACTCAGCAACATCAGCTACAAAATGATAATTTTCAACAGGGCATGTCTATCTCTTTTACAATTTGCTGCATAGAGCAAACACGTTAAGTCACCGGGAATACCTGTCACGCTTATTTCCATAAGCCTTCCCAAACCCTAAAAAGAAAATAAAAACACCCTCAAATTTCATTTGCTTTGGTGAGGCAATCTGTCAGCATTCCAGCAAACCTCCATTCCAATCAGTAACTCCGAGACAAACATATCTCAAAAGTACCTTTATTAGAATAGCACCTGGTACATCTGTGGAATCCCGAATCTAAAAGTTTTCGGGCTTTCCACACATTCCCAAACTACAAATCTGTCCAAAAGTAAGATTCTTATTTCATCCTGCGCCATACTAATGACCTTGAACTAACTAAAGAATTTTATTTTGTCTAGAGCTACTTAATTAAAATCACTTCCCTCCCACTTTTTCATGGTATGTGGCAGGGTGGAATATGGCTTCCAAAGCTGACACAATCACTGTATGCCCCAATGGCGGTAGCCAGCTTAAAAAGTTGCCCACATCTGGACTTGGGAAATAGAAAAAAAGAAAAGAAAAAAGGATTGGGACAAATATTAATGGGCAATAAGACTGGCACTGCTTCGCATAAGATTGAAAAGTTGCTCTCTGACCTAAGAAGTCCAACCCAGAGGAAGAAGGCTAAACTACACATAAGATTGGGAGGGGGGAAGAAACCACACACACCAATCTTCCCCAAATTGGTACTTTCCAAATATACATTGGGTCTAGATAAGTGGTGTGCTGGTAAATGTTTAGCAACTGGCTCTCCAGATCCATTGCTGCCACAGTGTTTGAGCTATTAGCCACTGAACAGCCAATCAGCATGCTCCATTGTGACTCAGCTCTGCTCTCAAGTGGCTCACAGAATCCCAGAAAATTTAACAATCAACTCTTGCAAGCCTGTATGAGCTGGCTCCAGCATACCACTGGGTTTACAGTTCCCAGAAAATCAAGCTAGCATGGCCCTTATGAATGGCCAATTGAAACCCTTCCTTGAAAACCCTACTTTTCAAACCATATATGTACACTTGGATGCTGTAGGAAACACTTTTGTTTCGTAATTCAGATCTACATAGCATGCAATTTTCAATCACAGGGGCATATGCTTTTCCTTCAACGGGCCACATAGGAAAAAAAAACAGAGTGAAGCAGTTTTGAACCATTAAAATGCATCGTATGCAAACCTCCAAGTTTTCTTCACCCCCACTATGTCTAAAGAAACTTACTTTAAACAAAAATAGTGGATTCCATGTAATACGTGTCAAAATTTGTAGTTGTGCAGATTTACAAGGACATTATCTCTCCCCAAAACCCTGATTACCAATAACTCAGGGGGAAAAATATAGCTGCAAAGCCAGAAGTTTAGATACACGCTTGCTAGTTGCATTCCACACTGGAAAAACCCATGGTTGAAGCATTGAACGAATTAATGCCAGAGACTCCCACCTTATCAGAGGGGAATAGAAAGCTGAAAGAAACAGGGAATGGACACTATCTTTCCTGTTTTTCACAGCATGACTGTTGTGCAGCCAAATGACCTGGACCAGCTTTCAGGCACAGTCAGCGAGTTGCAGATTTAAAAGGGAACACACGTTACATGTATGTTTCCCCTTTTAAATTCAGGGCTTAGTGGCAAGCCCTGGATTAATCTTCATTTCAGCGGCTTCT